ACAACAAACAAGTATAGACTAGATCGCCTAATTTGGAACAAAACATTGCATGTGTTGTTTGTGAAAATGGTTTGAAGTTTGCTACTCGTAAGTAGACTAAAGTGCGGATTTCAATGAATTGTTCCAATTCAAGTAATCCAACCATTACCCACAGGCATTCAAGCAGTTAATCAATTAAGCAGTTAGCCTCATGGCAAGCATGCTAACATGGCAACATACACATCTCATGCAGTATGCTAAAGCGTAAACACTCATAGTGTACTCTGAGCCAAAACAAAGAACTAGTTAGAAATCATGCATGATCCTAGTTCATGTTAAGATGGCTAATGCAACACATGCGAAAATACAATTTAGATAGGCTCGGCTACCTAGAATGTTATGTGAAATGCAACTTGGTACATGTATTCAAATTGGAATTGAAATACAATGCAGTTAGTATGATGCGCCGAGCCCGGTGCATGCAAGACAGATGAATGAATGCAAACATGCGAAGCATATGGTATGCTAAATGAAGCATGCTCTAAAACTAACCATCATAAGTAGTTAAGTAAAAAGGAGAAAGAAATGGAGGTTGGAAGACATGCATCGCACACACGCACGCTTATTACAGCAATACGCCCTCTCAACAGAGGGACCGAATAAGAAGCTAACTAGCTAATCTAAGCTAATTAAATTACTTATTACTCAACAAATTAATTAACTAATCCTAGTTAACTAATTATTACAAAACAAATTGAAATAGCTAATGCATTAACTATTAAAGGTACAAACCAAAGCGTAAACTAGCTAAGTAAAGCAGTAAAAGCAGGAGCTTCAGAGGAAGAGGAATGCATGTATGTTCGGTCGCCTCGTTTGAAAATCCAATGCGATGTCTCGATTTGCCTCTGTTTTCATTTGTTCTCAGAACACTGCACCAAGTTCCAGAAAGCTAAAACTTCACATTGGGAGTCTTGTGGGAAGGTGGCCGACCACTTTTGGTCTCTGCAGCCACTTGCCAACCACTTTCTTTGTTGAAAGCCAGAAAAAGTGGTTGGCCAGCTAGTTTTTCTGGCTGGCCGGCCAGTTGTTGCTACTGAATTCCAGTTTGCTGCAACAGAGAGCAAGAAAGGGCATGGCAATGTATTTGCAAGATATGTGTGCACAACCACCCTCCCTATCATGTAATGAACTCAAGGGAGTGTAGTTTTCGACCATCGGGCTACCAATCGCGCATTTCAATGCATGATGGCCGAGAGGCGAAGTTGCACAATTCAATATTAAAATGAATGCACAAGTAAACACATAAAGCCTAGAACTCTATCATGTATGATCAAGAGCGTTGGCGATTGAGAATTGAGGCACATTTCATGACTTTAAGTATGAAACGTCCCTCGTTTCTCGTGTTTGGACTAACACCTATTCCAAACAACAATGCAACACATAACATGGCAAACATGTAATTAACATACTAGTATACACAATGCGAATGAACTACATGGCATACACAATGCTCATGACAACTTAGCATACTCAACGCAATGTGACGTGATTGACTTAACAAAGCTAATGACATGCGAACAATTCTAATGCATGCATGCACAATGCGATGCTATAAGGGCAACTTAGCAATGTTATGAACATGCATACTCAATGCAAAGAAACTACTTGGCATACATAATGCAAATAACCATACAGCATGCACAATGTAATGTAAGATGGCATACTTAATGCAATGAACAATAAGCATGCGAACAACATGTAAATGAACATGCTAAATGGACTTAAATCAAAACAGGGGGGTAGACCTCAGTCATGCCCAAATCAATGGCCAAGGGTGATAAAATTAAGGCACATGAAGCACATACAAGCATGTATAATGCCATGGCCTATCAAAAAGGCCTAAAAGCACAACTCTCGAGAGTACTCAAAGAGTAACAAAAGTGGAAGTGTAGCAACACCAAGTGCACTAAAATGAGGTAAGAAATGATGCCAAATCATTTAATCAACACAAGTTAAGCATGCAACGGTCCTTAAGCTTTCAAAGCTAGCTAAGAGGACTACAAAGGGGGCATGCAATAAATGGCACAAATGACTAAACCAAACATGGACAGAGCTTAAATAGGTCTTAACAAAGACCTAAACATGCTAAGATGGATGCTCAAAGACCTAGGCAAGATGGCATACATGTTAGGCCACAAACTAGGCAACAATGCACAATACTCTAAGGTGCTTAAAGAGTGAATGAAGTGAGAATATGGCAAGTCTACATGGTCTAAAATGAAGTATTAAAGGATGCTAAATTATGTACACAACACAAATGAAGCATGCTATGGTGCTTAAAGCATGAAACAAGCAAGAGCACTTGCACTACAGCTATGCAAAACATAAGGCATATGGCAAAGGCAACCCAAAACAGTCCTAGAACATATTAAAATGAGTCTAAAACACGTATGGAAGGAAGCCAAAACAAGCTAACATGAAGGGCATAAGGCATAATGAACGCAAGGCAAATAAGGTGGATTACACTACATCCATTAAGACTAAGCATGGGATGACTTAACCAATAAAAATCAAAGTTATGTCATGGCAAGATAACCCTAAAACACATTGAAATGATGGCTCGCAAGCTAAGGCATGAAGGCATACGCAATGATTCATGTTAAGGCATAAAGGGGTCAACCCTCCAACGCATTAAATGAGTGATAAATGCAAGTACATAAGCATGAAACATGGATTGAAATCACATATGAAATGATATCAAATCATTCAAATAGGCCAAGTAAAGCATGCTAGTGGACTTAACACACAAAGCTAACAAGCTAGATTGAACCAAGACTATACAAAGCACTGCATGACCAAGACAACACAAATCAGAGCTAGAGCATGCTAAAACATGAACAAACGCTTCTTGAAGTTAAGCCAAAAGCATGCTAAAAAGACATGTCAAAGAATGATGCATGTTAGGCTATTTGATGGAATTGCACTACAAGTGCATGAGGCATGCAAGAGGTGACCAAACAAAATCCTAACAGAGGTATGACATGGCAAAACATCACCAAAAGCATGCTGAAATGGACTCAACGTAAGCTAGAAATACATGCTACTTTATGAAGCATACAAGACTAGTTTATGAAATTTACACTACAAGTGTATAAGGCATGCAAGATCCAACCAAACCAACCCAAAACAAATCTAAGGCATGGTAAAACAACACCAAAAACCTACTGAGCTGGCCCCAAAACAAGCTAGAAAGACATGCTCAAACATGAAGTACACAAAGCTAGTTTGTAAGATTTACACTACAAGTGTATAAGGCATACATGGAATGACCAAACCAAGTAAAAATAGTGGTATGCCATAGAAAAATAACCACAAATACAAGCTAAGATATGGTCAACATAAGCTTAACAAACATGCTCAACATGAGACATATGAAGCAAGTAAACAATACACAAGGAGAGGGGATGACCCTCTCCTATTTAGGACTCCAAAACCACCTTTCCACTATTGAAAATCCTTTGGATTTCAGTGGTAGAAAGGTCATGCAAAGGCTACAACAAGAGCCTAAAGGGATGGCTCAAAACAAGGCCTAAGAGGGAGTGGATCACCCCCAACGAAAAAGTGACCTTAAACAAACTTCTTAAGCATGAAAAAATAGAACTTTTTCCAGTTAAGAGCTAAGCTTAAAATAGTATGAAAATAAGGCTAAAAGCTTAAGTAAGAATGGGGGATTTAAGGGCTAAAAACTCACCCTTGAAGACTAACTTTACAACTGCAACTCCAGCACACTTTTTGAACCAAAATCAGTCCAAGAACTTCAAAAACAACCTCAAGAAGCCTCAGCAACACAAGCAAGGTGTTTGAGTGTGTGTTTGTGTACAAAAGTGAGACAAAACTACAATTTTAAGGCACAAAACAAGAACAAAAGAGAGATATAGATACAAGGCTATATCTATAGCTCAAGGGAGATTTTTCTGAACCTAGAGGAGGGAGGAGGTGGTTCTCTCTTATAGAGAACCAAAGGCAAAGCTTCTCCAAGAACCTAAGGTTCAAACCAATCCCTCCATACACGTGTATGGAGGATGGCTTTGGTGCCCTCCAGTTGTGCCAGTTTGAGGAAAATATCTCAAAAAAGGTGCCAAAAAGCATCCGACCACTTAAAGTGGTTGACCAGCTACTTAAAGTGGTCGGCTGACCACTTTAAATGGTCTCCCAGAACAACAACTAGTCGGCCATGGTGGGAGAGAGTCCAGAGGATAAAAACAAGCAAATGGTGTGGTGACCGACCAGAAAAGATGGCCCAAAGACCAAGGAGACCAGTTGTCAGACCAGAAAACTGGCTAGCAGGAGGAAAAGTGGTTTGCGGGGAGAGAAACTGGTCTCCCACCCTTGTACCACCTTCCAAACAAGGAAAACAAAGTTTGTACCAAACACAAACCAAAACGGATGCAAGACGAAAGTTCGGGAGGCAAAGCGCGCAGCCGGGAGCCTCGAAAACTAGCTGACAAGCACCAAAAGTGGTTTACGACCACAAAAGTGATCTTCCAAACCAAGGTGGCCCTCTAGACCAAGGAAACAAGGTGTGGTTCAAAAATCACGCCAAACGGAGAATGTTAAGTAGTCCCGAGACAAGGCGCGGGGCCGAAGGCTCCAAAAATTGAAAACTAATCTCCAAATGGGAAAAGTGGCCTACGACCACAAAAAGTGGTCTACAACCACAAAAGAGTGGTCTACAAGACCTCTCCCTCCCTCAGGAAAGAAAAACCAGACTTGGTCCGCAAACCAAGCCAAAACACAAAGAGTTCAGAGGCTTTGAGGCAAGGCTCTCAGCCAAAACTCCGAAACCTCGAAACGAGCACAACATGCGCTATCACCGAGCGCTCAATCGATGACGTCTGAGTCTTAAGGTCGATCAAAAATGGGGTGTCTACACTTTGAAAGAAGAAATATGTATTGTCCTATCTCGTCATAATCTCAGTGTACAAAATATTCGTGGTCAAGGGTACGATGATGCCAGTAATATGCGTGGAGAGTGGACTAGGTTGCAAGCCTTATTTCTTCATGATTGTCATTTTGTGTATTATATTCATTGCTTTGCTCATCAACTCCGATTAGCATTGGTAGCGACAGCAAGAGAGGGTATACCCGTTGCCCAATTTTTTTCTTATCTGGCTCTCACAGTTAATCTATGTGACTCTTCTTATAAAAGGCATGATCAGTTGAAAGTTGCTCAAGTTAAAGAAATTGTAGCAAAACTTGCCATTGAGGAAATTGAAACTAGTAAAGGCAACAATCAAGTTGGGACATTGAAACGAGTTGAAGATACTCGATGGGGCTCTCACTCGGGATCTATTTCCAATTTGATAAATATGTTTAGTGCAACTTGTTCAATCTTAAGTAATGTCATCAATGATGGAACCACCTCTACTCAACGTGCAGATGCAGATGGAGTTTATGATAAGATTACATCTTTTGAGTTTGTGTTTATCTTACATCTTATGAGAGATATTATAGGGACAATTGATGATCTTTGCCAAGCTTTGCAACGTAAATCCCATGATATATTGAATGCAATACATCTAGTGTCAACTACAAAAGCACTTACTCAAAAATATAGAAAAGATGGATGGATTCTTTTGTTGGAGAATGTTCAACTATTTTGTGAAAAATATGACATAGATAATCCTGATATGAGTGCTCGTTACACATTTGGTAGATGTTGTGCTTGTCACCAAAGAGATCACATTACTATTGAGAATCATTTTCGGGTTGATATTTTTACGATTATATGTGATTCTCAATTGCAAGAATTGAACAATAGATTCAGAGAAGATGTGATGGAGTTGCTTATTCTTAGCTTTGCTTTAGATCCTAGGGATGATTACAGTTCGTTCAAATTGAAGATATATGCAAGCTTGAAAATCAATTTTGTCCTAATGACTTTACAGAGAAAAAAAAATACATTTGAAATTTCAATTACAAAATTACGAGATTCTTAAACATCCTGAGTTTCAACAGCTGTTGACAAGTTCTGACTTGTGCCAAATGTTGGTAAAAACAAGGAAGTTAACAATTTATCCTCTTGTCAATGGATTAATTCGTCTTGTTCTAACTTTACCAGTTTCTACGGCGACAACAGAATGTGCATTTTCAACCATGAAAATTATAAATACTAGATTGTGCCGCAAGATGGAGAATGGTTTTCTTTTAACATATGTTGAGAAAGACATTGCTTGAGATTTTGATGTAGATTCCATCATAGATTCCTTTTATATTATGAAAGAACATCAAGCACAACTTTAGATGCCTAAGTAGATATATAGAGCAAGTAGTTATTTTTTTTGAAAATTAATATGAATTTACTAGAACATATCCAATTATATTTTGATAATATTTTATAATTATATACGATGAAGGAAAACATCTAATTATATATTTTTGTGATATTTGGATAGAAATTGATATTGTATATCACAGGGTCATTACTAATTTTTTGATTGCATATACACTCATCCCCTCGACATTAGAATCCTGCGTCCGTCCCTGTGTACATGCATTGTTGGACTCTACCAATTTTGTATATAGAACAAATCATCATGTGACTTGACAATTAAGCCCTGGTTTGGCTATCATTTTGGGGCTAAAAAAAGCACAAAATGATAAAATAGGATAAATAAAATATCACATCAAATCCATAATCATTATACTTTTTCTCTCACAAAAGTTAAAAAAGTCAAAAAATCTAAACCAAACGAGTCTAAAAAGTCAAGCTAAAAAAGTCTCAATACAAAAAAATTGCCTATTAACCAATATCAAATGAAGCTTAAGTAGGCCATTTTACATTCAAATCATGCTTGCTCTCTCTAATTATCATGACAGCACAACCACCAAAACAATAAGACATGTCATTAAGAACATTATTAAGTCTGTTTAGTTTTAATTTTCTGAATTTAGTTTATTAAAAATTGAGTTTTTTATTTTTTGTATTTTTTTTGTTTTTAATGAATATTTTTAAAATTTTAAGCATTTTTTTTTACTTTTTTAGATACACCTTACTTAGATGTATCTAAAAAGTAAAATTTTTGTAAAAAAATATTTTAAAAAATTAATAAATATACAAAAATATGAAAAATATACTGAATTTTCAATTTTTTGATATTTTTGATATTTAGTGAATTTTTTATAGATTTTTTTCACGAAAATTATACTTTTTAAGTATATTTATGTTAGGTGTGTCTAAAAATTAAAAAAAATTACTTTAATCCCTTCCCCTACCTATTAGCCTTTAATTTAACCCTTGAAACCCTAAATTGCTCACTATTTAAGTCATCAAATAATCTCTGTTTTCAAAATCCAGTGCTATCTCTACTTGTCCTGCATCAGTTATACAACCATCATTATATTAAATCAAATCCATGAACAAAGTACAAAAACCCTAATTACTTGATTAGAGTTTCATCAAACCCTAAGACGGAAAGTCTAGTCGCTCATGGACAGTGGAGAAATCCAAAGTTTAAGTTGAATCTTTATGAAAAGCTCTTTGGATCTCCTTTTTCTCTTCTTCTCTCTTGTGCCTTCTTAATACTTCAGGCCCCAAATCTCCCTTTCAAAAAAGCTACTAACTTTCCGTTTATATGTGCTAAAAACAACCCTAAAAATAATAAAATTCGGAATAGATTGTGAAAAATCTAAAAATCCTAAGATACTGATTTGTCATTATGATTTGATTTTAAATAATAAATAACAATTACAATCAAACAATCAACAACAAATTGGCATAATGATTTAATGTGTAAAAAATCACAAATGGACTTATCCAATTGTGATAAAAAAATAAAAAAATAAAAAAATAAAAAAAATAAAATAAAAACCATGAGTCAAAGCCACAAAACAATCTACTAAAAAGATGAAAAGGAATTACACACGAGAACTCTCAATTACCTAACAAATCCACACCTGAATTGAACCAAACCCGATGTGCCCTTTCTGCCACTATCTTCACCTTAGAATTGCTTTGTACAATGTTGAATCCACAATGCCGATGTCAAATCCACGACGATGAGTCACTTCGGAATCCATCAAAGCTTTAGGCCCAAGTTCTCCAGAATCCACCAATGAACACCTCCCTCTTTGTGTGAGTGAAATAACAAAAACAACCCTTGATGTTTGTCACTATGTAGTTCGTTGATCAATCGATCACAATCTATAAGTCAAGAAAACTCATATATAAACACCTTACAATATTAAACACTTTGTTTTTTTACTCCTCTCTGAGAATCTGGACTGGTTAGACCCTAAAAATAGCAAATAACGCACTTTATTCTAAACAAAGCTACGAAAACCACTCGAGCATACACTTCACCGCTCGAGCGGTGTGAATAAAGGTGGTGCTCATATATAAGCCAACCGCTCGAATGCAATTTCTACCGCTCGAACAGTAAACCAAGCTTCCCAAAAGTTCAGAACATAAGTAGAGATACTAGATGAACCACTTCATCGCTCGATCGCACAGAAGACAGCTCGAACGGTTAATCAGCTCGGTCCCTATACTTAGTTAGCGAAGTGACAAACAAAAAAAGCTCAAAAAGATACAGAATATCAGCACAAACTCCTCTACTTAGGCTCAATTCGGATTGGATTCGCATCTATACTCTCATAACTCACAAATCAAATAGAGTGAATAAAAATACAATTGAATGAAATTTTGTCCAACGAAATTGTCAATTACAAAAACCGTTGCTTCTGTGCTCAAGCACACAAACACAATCCTTTTTCACTTTAACAACTTAAGTGCTCAAGCACTTAGACTCTATGCTCGAGCACAAAAAGGAAAATTTGTTTGCTATTATTTAATTTGTCTTTATTTTTGTTTCTTATTTAGTCTTAGATTACTTTTAGAAGTCAAAATATTATAATCATTTCTTCTTCTTCTTCTTCTTCTTCTTCTTCTTTTATTTTTAATTGTAGTTGATTTCGGAAATCAACTAATCTACTTCTTTTGGTTTGATTTGGTTAGTTGGTTTAGAAAATTTCGTAATTCTATATAAAATCATGTAATGTTTGTAATTTAATAGACTTGATATTTTAGAGAATTATAGAGCTTTTAAAGCTTTTTTTTTTTTTTTATGGATTGTGTGATACAATCAAACCCCTAGGTGTGATGCTTATGGAATCTAGGTGTGATGCTTAAACCTATATTCTTCTCTTCTTTCTTTGCCTTTTCTGTTTCAATTTACTATTTTCGGATTTCTATTCACAACCCTCTAAAAGTGCACTTTTCAACCTCAAAACTCCATCCAATCACCCTCAAATCAAACCTAATCCCTTCCCCTACCTATGAGCCTGTAATTTAACCCTTGAAACCCTAAATTGCTCACTATTTAAGTCATCAAATAATCTCTGTTTTCAAAATCCAGTGCTATCTCTACTTGTCCTGCATCAGTTATACAACCATCATTATATTAAATCAAATCCATGAACAAAGTACAAAAACCCTAATTACTTGATTAGAGTTTCATCAAACCCTAAGACGGAAAGTCTAGTCGCTCATGGACAGTGGAGAAATCCAAAGTTTAAGTTGAATCTTTATGAAAAGCTCTTTGGATCTCCTTTTTCTCTTCTTCTCTCTTGTGCCTTCTTAATACTTTAGGCCCCAAATCTCCCTTTCAAAGAAGCTACTAACTTTCCTTTTATATGTGCTAAAAACAACCCTAAAAATAATAAAATTCGGAATAGATTGTGAAAAATCTAAAAATCCTAAGATACTGATTTGTCATTATGATTTGATTTTAAATAATAAATAACAATTACAATCAAACAATCAACAACAAATTGGCATAATGATTTAATGTGTAAAAAATCACAAATGGACTTATCCAATTGTGATAAAAAAATAAAAAAATAAAAAAATAAAAAAAATAAAATAAAAACCATGAGTCAAAGCCACAAAACAATCTACTAAAAAGATGAAAAGGAATTACACACGAGAACTCTCAATTACCTAACAAATCCACACCTGAATTGAACCAAACCCGATGTGCCCTTTCTGCCACTATCTTCACCTTAGAATTGCTTTGTACAATGTTGAATCCACAATGCCGATGTCAAATCCACGACGATGAGTCACTTCGGAATCCATCAAAGCTTTAGGCCCAAGTTCTCCAGAATCCACCAATGAACACCTCCCTCTTTGTGTGAGTGAAATAACAAAAACAACCCTTGATGTTTGTCACTATGTAATTCGTTGATCAATCGATCACAATCTATAAGTCAAGAAAACTCATATATAAACACCTTCCAATATTAAACACTTTGTTTTTTTACTCCTCTCTGAGAATCTGGACTGGTTAGACCCTAAAAATAGCAAATAACGCACTTTATTCTAAACAAAGCTACGAAAACCACTCGAGCATACACTTCACCGCTCGAGCGGTGTGAATAAAGGTGGTGCTCATATATAAGCCAACCGCTCGAATGCAATTTCTACCGCTCGAACAGTAAACCAAGCTTCCCAAAAGTTCAGAACATAAGTAGAGATACTAGATGAACCACTTCATCGCTCGATCGCACAGAAGACAGCTCGAACGGTTAATCAGCTCGGTCCCTATACTTAGTTAGCGAAGTGACAAACAAAAAAAGCTCAAAAAGATACAGAATATCAGCACAAACTCCTCTACTTAGGCTCAATTCGGATTGGATTCGCATCTATACTCTCATAACTCACAAATCAAATAGAGTGAATAAAAATACAATTGAATGAAATTTTGTCCAACGAAATTGTCAATTACAAAAACCGTTGCTTCTGTGCTCAAGCACACAAACACAATCCTTTTTCACTTTAACAACTTAAGTGCTCAAGCACTTAGACTCTATGCTCGAGCACAAAAAGGAAAATTTGTTTGCTATTTTGAAGCTTCTAAACTTCATTTCTTTAACTTGATTTGGACTTCAATTCAATGTTCCAGCAAATTTTCTAAAGCTCCAAATTGATAGTCTTTTA